TTTAATTATTTTTTGGTACTTGACAATAGTTAGATATTAAATGATAAATGAGACTTTCAATGAAATTATGTAATGATAAACTATCTGATTTTATTTAAAGACAATTAGGATTTCATTTGACTAGCAAACAATGACTGATAATGCATAGGAGCGTATGAATTAAAGTCACATTTTTTCATACGAGTAGTAAATAAAATATGACATATAATAATCTTATGGCATTTGACGATGAATTATGACAATGACGATGACGATGATGTAATAAAATAAATGACAGGTACTACCAATGTAGTTCTGTTTTGTTACAAATATGTGCTGCATATACACAGTAATATCAGTACAGTAACATAATGTAAGATGAGAAAAACAAAGTTAGACTACATTTATATAGATATGATAATAACAAATGTTATGAAACCTGTTAGCTCTATGTTACGTAACTGTTAGGTTATAACATTGTAACAAACGTTATGTCATTTGTTAGTTTTAAGTTACATAACTGTTAGGTTATAACATTGTAACAAACGTTATGTCATTTGTTAGTTTTAAGTTACATAACTGTTAGGTTATAACATTGTAACAAACGTTATGTCATTTGTTAGTTTTAAGTTACATAACTGTTATGTTTGGTGTTCAGTGGGGACCTGGTCTACTTGGGTTGGTGGCGCGATTTCTGTTAGGCGGACTCAGGACGTCGTTTCGCATGCTAATTCGCGTGCTAATTTGCGGAATTCCATGGCTATCATTCGGGTTACTGGGTTATGACTATTCGAAATTCGCGTAGAGGGTGCCTATATAACAGCAGTTTCAAACATGTATATCCATAGAATCATAATTTATGAATATGGACTATTTTTAATAAATAATCCATAACTGTGCTAGCCGGACAGAAATGAATAAACATTTTTAATAATTTTTTTTAAAACATGTACAGCATTCTAATGGAATAAAATTATACATCTGACTAGCAAATCATATAAAACATGTACAAAATACATTAAGTTAATGGAATGTTATTTAACAGTCACAAAATTATCATTAAATAACGTGTATGACTATGATTGAATGAACAAAAACGATGTTAACATATTCTATATCACTTACTAAACTGTTGAGTATTAAGAGACTAGTGTTTGACGTAAATATCTAATTATATAAATAAACATTTTTGGTTCAGTTGTAAAAAATTCACTGGGAAGTCTGTTGTAATCTGTGGCGAGGAACACCTATGTAAATAATTTGTCTTTGTTCATCCGGATGTATAAGTTCATCAGAATGATTCCACCGCCATTTCTTTTCACTATCTTTCACTTTTCTACTGTCAATATAACTTACAACACAACTTGTTGGAATCCAAACCAAAGCAGTACTAATAATTACCGCTCCGACGATATTATCTTTTAAAAACCGCATAACTTTGTTGATATTGATATCTTCAATTATATCCCAAAATCGCTCCACAACATCTTGAATGGTTTTTTCACAAATTCCCTGCGAAAATAATGACATGATTCATATATGTAAATCAGCTATAGCTGTACCTCTAATTCATTAGCACGTTGACCAACAGGTGATCATCAGTGAATGGCAACCAATATGATGCACTGGTAATCACCATGGTGGTCAACGTGTTATGATATGAAAGGTGCTGAGAAATTTAATTGAAGTCGAAAAGTTAAGATTACGTCATTTTGAATACTCAAGTGGTAAAATTACCTGGCGCGTCACGTTACCGATATTTACATTTATATCGAAATATTTTACACTCTACATTGAGAATTATACGAAATGAAGCATTCCATAGGTCATTTCGGTAAAGTAATAATGAAAAAATTGGTGTAAAACTGTCGAAATCCCGCAAATTCCTTATTCTAACGACTGTTCAGGACCAACGTCGCCATCTGTGACGTTTACTTGCAACTAAATTTTTACTTTAAAAACACATGTTAGCCCCGAGATAAGCCAGCATTCTCTTGCAATCGTTGGTGAAAGCATTTTCCATGTTTTTCCATCTGACTGTAATATTCCATTTCTACGGTATTCTACATTGTTCGAGCTAGGTCCTGAAACTCTTAATTTTCGTTTCTAAGACTCCATAAAAGGTAAAACAGTGAAAACGTGCACAGACCACGCAATGTCCGTTATAGTCTGTGATAAATTAATTAATTTTTGATGAAAAATGAAATTTTGTGAGTTTCAGGGTCTACTTTCGGGCCTCCATATTCACGTGGTAAAATCTGAAACGAATCGGTACACTAAATTCGAAGAATACCTTCATCAACGATTTGACTTCAGATATATATAGGCTGATATATCTGAGAAGTCAAATCGTTGATGAAAGTATTCTCCGAACTGGGTGTACCGATTCATTTCAGATTTTACCACGTGAATATGGAGACCCTAAAGTAGGTCGTGAAACTCATGAAATTTATTTACTTATCATGGACTAGGACCAACATGGCGTGGTCTGTGCATGTTTTCGATGTTTTACGCTTCTTGGAGGCTTAGAATAAAAAATGAGTTTCAGGACCTAGCTCGAACAATGTAGAATACCGTAGAAACAGAATATTACAGAGTCAAATGGAAAAATGTGATAAATACTTTCACCAACGATTGCAAGAGAATGCTAGCTTGTCTTGCGGCTAACACGTGTTTTTAGAGCAAACATTTAGTTGCAGCTAACCGCCACAGATGGTGACGTTACTTCGTCAAAATATAAACAGTCATGGGATTTCGGCAGTTCTACATCGATCTTTTTATCATTACATTACCGAAATGACATATGGAACCCTTCATTCAATTCGCAATGTAAACTGTAAAAGACTTGAACATAAACATAAATGTTTGTAATGCGACGTGCCAGCTTATGTTACCACTTGAGTATTCAACACGGCATTACCTCCAAAAAGGGTATAGATGAATTTTACTTTATCGACGTCGATTAAATTTCTTAGCGCCTTTCATATCCTCTTAAGGATTGTAATGATGATTTAATTTAGATTAGGACTACCATTAAAAAATAGGTTCTTAGTGATATTAATATTTACTTTATTGCAGAAGCCTTGGATGCATGGTGTTCCATCAGGTAAAATATCTTGAGGGTCAATAGGAAAGCAAGTCTCGTTGAGGCTCATTCGGCAACATCTTTTGCAAGCATCACCAACTATGAAATGTAGAAGATGGAAGTATTAAGTAACATTAGATTGTGAGATTTTTCTTCGATTATCCAGTTTAGTTAAAAGCATCTTTTGTAACATGAATACGTACTTGTATCGCACATACAACTTTGTAACCCTTGCGTTTCACAATATGGGACACATTTTCCAAGTCTACATTGACCACGTTCAAGGCAACCAGTACCATCTTTCATTGGAGGAGATCTAGGACACTCACTAGAAGCTCCAGTGCATTGAGATTCTTGCTCGCAAGTTGCGTATTGGGCATCCCGACATTTTACGCCAAGTCGCATGTACACACAGTTTTGGCAGCAAGGTGAATTTTTATCACTGCATAAGAAAATATCAAGAAAATGTTGAAATACTCTCGTATCTTCCCCAAAACCAGCACTCATATTATTGATTCCTTATAAAAAATTAAGATAGTTAAGAAAAAAAACCTGCAAACAGCTCCTTGGCTTCGACGAAGTTTACAATTCTTATCACAGCAAGCATCATTGTCTTCCGTTCCTAGTAGACCAGCATCACACTCTTCATCTCCTTCAACTCTTAAATTACCACAAAATGACTCTTCTGGTTCTGAGAAACAACGGCCTGATTTGGCTTGAAGTACTTTTTTGATAGATCGCAGACTACATGGTGAAAATCGCTATAAAATATAATATATTTATTCACGTGTAAGACAACATTTAATGTTTTGTTCTAAATAAATTTATTCGTCCAAGTTAAGATTTTTAATACCTTATTGTTGACATCATAGCCACTGACACTGTAAGTATACATCAAATAAGAACCTCCTTGACTTGCACTTGGACTGCAATCCTATAAAAACAAATAATAAAGTATTCATGGGTTATGTAGATAATATCACTTGTAGAATCTTCACTTACTGTAATATCAGGATCGTGCTCAGAACCCCAATTATGGCCAAATTCATGAGCAGTAACTAAGTCTGCTTCACGAGTAATTACCCTTTGGCCATAATGATTCCTACTGGAACTCAGTCCAGAATTAAGATACAAAGTATAGCCGTTTTTAAAATATTCTAAAAAGAAACATAATTTGATGTCAGATTGTAATCATCTGTACAAAGTTCTATGCATGGTATAATTCATTTACCTGGAGTACAAATACCACCCACTGAATTTCTTCGTGGGGAACCAACATACGCGAGTCCTAAAATTCCACCTTCAAATTTTAAATCGGTAAATAAATGAGCCAAGCAAAAATCTTTGTGGCTATACTCTCGACTGAAAACCTACCAGAATAACGCCCTTTTATAATCACTACAGATATCAGATCAGAAAATGTTTATATATGTATAGTATTAACCTCAAGTAAGGTGCGAACATCCCATTTTTCACGAACCATGTTATAGTGAGTGTCCCCACCACGTACACGAGTTGGTTCACTGTGTACAACAATTTTTTTAATTACAAAACCCATCCCTTTAAACCCATCTTGTTCCTGACGTTCTTGCCATAATGTGTCATTGTAAATCTTATGTACTCTGTCTATTAAGCTTATCTATATTAAAAAAAAAAAGAGAAGCATATTAAATAATCCATATGGTTTTAATTGTTTCTCGTGAAACAAATACGAACCAAATAATTAATAGTTGTTTTAGTACTGCTGGCACCCATTTCTTGATAAAAACGATAATCTGCTACCAGTAACAATGGGCAGCGGGTTTTTGTTGGAGTATACTCATAAGTCTCTGTTTGCCTTTTTGTCCTGTTGTGTACATCGATTTTAAAAAATGTTTCATCATTCTGATCATCTTCTGTAAGAAATGGATCTACAATTTTTGAAGGTAAGTATTAATTTTATATCTATATTCTAAAATAACTTCTTGCAATAATAGAACAAGCAAACTTATATATAAATTAAAAGTGATAAGTATTTAGATTCACCAGGATTTTCTTTTACATATCCACATGTTTTTGGGGCTCCATGTATATGGCTTTCTCCATCTTTAAAATGTTCCCAACTAAGTTTTACATCTGAAGATTTGTAAATTATCATCGTTTCATTATTAGTGTGAGAAAGATGTCTCCAAGATGGCTGAAAAAATATATATGTGATAATTAATATATTAATAAAAGTATATTATAGATTGTAATGAACTTTGTCCCAAACTTGGCCATATGGCAAACAGCAATAAGTTGTATATCAGTATGTAGGTTTGACTGGGTACATTCATGAAAAAAAAGTATTGATCGATTTACTGTATGCTCTAAGATATACAGGGTGTTGAAAAATTAATTGAACACGCAGTAGACTCATCATGAAAGATATTGAATGTTACAAAAATACCTTCAATATGCTCAAATATTGGTTCTATGGACCCAACGAGATGCCGAGCATAACCTGGATATCATATTACGGTAATTATATGGACACAACACCAACAGCCCTAGCTCCATTTTTTGTAAATACAGTGGTAAGCACTTATGGTGCCTTTTCATTCATTATTTTTTGTCCACCATATGAATGTAATATTTTGTTTCGTTAACATGCCTTGGTTGTATTCTACCTTTTATGGACTACTAACCCAGAGAAAGCAAAATCGATGGCTTGAATGTTATTACAAAGTACAATCTTAAATGGCCCATCAGTGGCAACATGTTCACCAAAATGAGTTTGCCTGCTTTATTTACCATCGTCCAAGAGATTTTAAATAAAGGTCCCTTTCTTATTGAATTGGGAAATCCGACAGCTCTTCTTTATTGATGGACTATTAATGGAGTAGAGTTACCTTGACTTGCAATTAAAATTAATTTCTTTTAGTTTTATTTTAGCCATCATCATTTTACATATTTCCTGAACACTTGTAATATTTGAGACAAACTGTGTATAAAACACATGCTTTTCCCAAAAGCCTCGAATTTCAAAAAGTAGAGCCTAAGTCATTATAATACATTTGACCCCCTATTTCACTTCCACACAAATGATGTAGCAATTTGAGACCCCATATTATTGTTACTCTTACTTTCCTCTATATATTACTACATGTAAAAGCTGTTCGCTTGTTGAGTTAGGACTTCGCTTGTGAAGTTAGGTCCAAATTTTCTTTTACTCAGTATTTAATCTGCCTAACATTTTCTTTAAGGTCTAGAGGCTTCCCTGCTTGTTCTTTGTACATGACTTGACTTCCAGGTAAGAGTGTGGTACCAAGACAATACATTCATAAGTAACTTTCACCCAAAAGGTAATTAGTAAGCAACAATTTTTTTTACTGATATTACAACATATATCAAATATTTAAATAAATATAATAACGGCAAACATTACCTCGATGTGAAAAGTTTCATTTGGAATGGTAATGCTTCCTGTAATTACGCCATTATCAATATGAATTTGGGCATGTGATTCCACCTCTCCAAAAACACGGCCATGATAAAAATTATCATGATCTGTGACACAAAAACATATTATTATAAATTTTAAATAAAAAAATTAATTTTGATTTAATTTAAAAAATCAATTTTGACAAATTATAAAATACATACACATTGCATTATAATTAACTCAGCATCAATAATAAACAGCGATGTATAAAGCTTATAAAAAATAAGGTACATACCTAAATGAATAGTTGTCTCTTCTCCATCTCCATTAACTTCGTATGCTTTAAATTTTGAATGAATAACTTCTCTCCTAGGTGATAAAATTAATCGGAAATTTCTGTGAACAAGCATTATTGCATTCGTACAGTATCAGTAAAATTATTTTGTGCAGGAATGAATGTAGATAAAAATATTCTACCTTCCATGAGCAGTAAATTCGAGTTCACTAATTTTATTATATGGATGATAACTATGTTGGGTTCCTCGTTTTACAACTCTGTGTTGTAACTGGGAAGTATGAATAGTTTCATAATGTTTAAAATTTCGGTGAAAACTACCTACAATAACAAGGAATTACGTAGGTAACGAAGAAGCAACTTCTCAAACATCGACAATCACTACATAACTCACTTGCTTGATTAATGATAAAAAATATATAACAAGTAAAATAAAATACACAAAGTTTATCCATTTATGTCAAACATCAATCCAGTCGTATACGATAATTATCAAAACCATAAAGTAGTATAACGAGACACAGAACCAATCAAAAGAATACGGAAGTCTCCATCGTCTCCATAGAAGCCCAGTTCTCGTGTTGACGTTTGATACTAGAGAGAAGATGAGAATAGCCAGGCCCCCTACTTCAAAACTATTACGCGGTGCTGCCCTCGCGGTAGCTGAGGCATCAAAAGGAGCGATACGTCGGTAAACGTAGAGTCCAGTCTGGTTTGGTTGAGCTAGCGCGGATCCGAGAAGCAGTTACCTACTGACATTTTCCGACAAAAGCACACCGGATACAATCATACTCTGAAATACAGATTAGCACTGTAATTGAATGCAGATGCGGAGCGTTGGGCATTGCGGTGTTCACGTACGGAACCTACATACAGCAAATCTGTGTGAGTGCGATCGCTCCTAGAAGAATTCGCGCGTCGTAACGAGCCAAGTTACAATTCGAGGATGCATTCGCATGTATGTGTTCGACCCTCGCGCTCATAGCGAGCATCCGTGAGAATGCTGCGAATGCTGCGAAAAACCTCCCGAGGCTTACCTAGTCGCGGATGTAAGCCAAACCATGTCGCGTATGATTTTTACTTTTCCTTAGATAAGAATAAACAGATATTACTTTTGGCATTCCACTTGGATGGATCTGTTGACAATGGAGCAAATTTATTTTATCGACAGTTAAACAAATTATGAAGTATCAATAAAAAACATCGAATATAATATCAACGTCATGTCGAAAATCATCAAATTTCTCACCATTAGGAGGCATTCTTTCCATAAATTAATATAAATTAAGACCGTATACTTCACTCAACAACATACTAATTTACGTAAAGCATGCTTCGCAATGGTGAAAAATTGGAAGTCGGTCGACATGAAGTTGAAACAATAATTGATGTTTATTTATTGATACGTCATAATTTGTTTAACTACCGATAAAATAAATTTACTCCATTGTCAACAAATACTACCAAATGAAACGCCAAAAGGAATATCTATTTATTTTTATGTAAGGAAAAGTAAAAGCCATACGCGACATGCCTCAGTTTACATCCGCGGCAATACGGAAAAAAACTGGTTGCAATTACTACAGCGACATAGCTAAAACATTGCGGCAATATAAAATACAAAAATGGTGAGACGGAACATATGAAATAGTAAATGCAACGTTGGCAACAGGTACACTGCCATTCGTTGATGGTTACCTCGCGCACTTACTGTCCTCTTTGGGGTAATAGCGGCGGGAGCAGTCAGGGATTTGAATTGCCCCAGGACCNAAGACAAAGAAATTTGAATTTTGTAAAGGTGGGGGTGCCAGCTTTACGCACCTCAGGAACTGGGCTTCTACGGAGTCTTCTGAATTCTTTGCTATGCGTGAACACTTTTCGCCTGTGACGTGCTCTAGGGTTGGAGGTCTCCTAGAAGCCTCCCGTCCAATGGATGTAATGATTGATGGAAAGTTTCCAACATTTCCAGATATTGGACTCGTCGTAATAACGCAAAACCTCTTTTACGTGTCGGTTGCTGGTTTTAGACGAATTTGGGCCGGCATTCCGTTTGGTGGGGATTTCCATGATCTTGATGAGGGCGACGATTACTAAGGTGTTCGACGCACTGCGGAGTCATCAGGATGCGTTTTCGCGTCCACTGGTGGCGACCCGGTGAACACTGTTATATAACTGTTGGGTAAATGTTACGTTTTCGAAACTAACATGTTATGCAGCATAAAAATAACATGGTAGTTAGATGTTAGTTATTATTTCCCACTCAGCAAGGTAACATATTATGTAACATGTTATATTAATGTTATAATTTCAGTTACCTTAAAATAATATTAATTTTTCATACATTTAATAAAAAAAAATACNAGCCGAGCCGAGCCGAGCCGAGCCGAGCCGAGCCGAGCCGAGCCGACGCAAAGGGTCCCCCCTGCGGGTCACACCAAGGGGGATTTTATCCACGGGTCGTAACACAAAGAGGACCCATTGGGTTACGTTTTGTTTTTTGGTTTTCTGCGTTAGTGCTTTGCGGTACCTATTTTGGCCTGCAATATCCGTTAGGACTCCTTAGCCAACTCAAACTGTTAAACTGTTTTGTGTGTAATTGCTTTCTTCTGTATTTGTGTTTGTCTTCTTTATGGGTTGTAAGAGCATGAGGAGGTAATAGCTCTGCATGCGATTGCTTCTTTGTGTGGTGACGCGGGGTTACTAGAACGTCTCCCGCGTGCTTTATTTCTGTGTAGGTCTTAATATGTCATGTTGTTTAGTTTTGGGTTTTGTTGGTTGTCTTGGGTGTCGCTTTTTTAATGCACTGGTCTTTGTTGTGTAGGTATTTCCTATAAAACAATTGTTAATAAAACAATTTGTTGTAAGATAAGGCGGACGTCTTGATGGCATCGTGATCGCCGGAAGAATCCTTTGAGTTACGTCTCGGGGGGTTAAACCCCACGGAATGTGACCCAAAGGGATGGAACTCAAGTAAGAGGGGGTGTGCCGGAATAAGTAGGGGAGGAACAGTCGGGATAATAGGAAGGTAGTCATATTGTTGTGACAAAATCTTAGCTTCCTTTGATTGGCTGAGATTTAATTGTCACTTTAAGTTTCGCAAGCAAAGAACGGTGTGGGCTGTGATCAGATAAACAGTAAATGAACTACAATGTGCCACATGTAACATAAAGATGGTTAAAAATTATGTTTGACATACAGGATTGGCAAAAAGAAATAAGTTGGAGCAAATAGGAAATATGGAGTAGGTGACCTTCAAATGAGGAGGCTGAGAGTTGAGATAACAATATGACTGTTTTACCCCTTCCTTTCCGATGCGCCAGTTTGTCCCCTGGTCTAACAAGGAAGGTACCTGAGGTGTCCCCCTCCGATTTTGTTCATTTTTAAATATGTTATAGAGGACTAAAATCTAAGGGACCCGTGTTTTTTTTTATCGGCGGATAAACACTTTTAGGGGATGAAATTACGCTTCAAGGTTGGCCGTACAAGGGGGTAAGTTGGCTGTTTCATGTAGAAGCACTCGACCGATTTTCATGAAACAACTGTCAAAATGTAGGCAATGAAGAATTATGAAACATGCATTTGGAATTTTTCGAAAAAATTCAATTTGAAGGGGTGAGCCACCCCTTTGAATACTTCTTTTACCCCTTACGCGAGTAGTAATTGCTCTATCCAAATGAAACTTGGTTAATTTACAGACCAGAACAATACAAAAGAAGTTTCATTTGGATAGAACAATTACTGCTCGCGTAAGGGATAAAGGAAGTATTCAAAGGGGTGGCTCACCCCTTAAAAATGAATTTTTTCGAAAAATTCCAAATGCATGTTTCATAATTCTTCATTCCCTACATTTGGACAGTTGTTTCATGAAAATCGGTCGAGTGCTTCTACATGAAACAGCCAACTTACCCCCTTGTACGGCCAACCTTGAAGCCTAATTTCATCCTCTAAAAGTGTTTATCCGCCGATAAAAAAAAACACGGGTCCTTTAGATTTTAGTCCTCTATAACATATTTAAAAATGAACAAAATCGGAGGGGGACACCTCAGGTACCTTCCTTGTAAGATGGAACTTGCGCTTCATCCATATATTGTTAGATCCATGTTACGAACCCAAAACTCGCTAAAAAGATGCTTCATTTGGCAACGATTCTGACTATTTCTCAACTGATCAAATTCTACGAGTGCTCATTTTAAAGATAAAATGTTGACGGTTGTTTATGTAGGACCGATTTTCGATCAAGCAATTTATTTCTAGTTAAAAATGCATGCAAATTATGTTGTTGAATTTTTTTTTCATACGGAAGTGACCACATCAATTATCGTGTTACATGGCGGCCGAGGGAATGCGAGGCCGGGGGAAATATTCAGGTTGTGCCTAAAGAAGTCATACCTCGTACGTCTACGTAACGGTTTAGATATTCTTGTGAGGAAATGGTCCGAGCAGCTAGACCAAATCTTCTGGTGGAATTAATAGGAATGAGGAGCTGAGGAGGGCTCAATAAATGGAGGTTATTGATAAGTTGACGAGGATGATTGTATTTGTCTCTTGTCAAGTGCTATTTCTACCAGTCATGAGGGTCCGTCAGGGCCCTCAAGTCTAATTCTTGTGGTTCGGTTTCGTTCCGCGTTGCGGAGCTTCGGGTGACGCGATAAGGCGGTCAGTGGCAGTAGGCCACTGGACGCTTAATATGCTAACATGAAGTTTCTTGGATTTAGAATTTACGAGGTTTGCGTGATTCTAGCGCAAGGCAAGGTATTGAAATGTTTGGGCGGAGATACAAAAGGACTTAATCTATCCGGTTATCCGAAGCTAGGCATGGAATTTGCGCATTTGTAGTTTGGATGAAAGATGACGTCAGGATGAAAAATGAAAGTGACCCGAGCTTGCGAAAGGGCCTGGCTCCATCAGCGGCCAAATTCGGTGACGTCCTCCTTGGATCAATCAACTGGATGACTGTACGTGAACACGTTCCGCCCGGGACGTGTCCTAGGGTTGGAGGTCTCCTCGAAGCCTCCCGTCCAACGGATGTAGTGATGCCGCCGTCCCTTCCTGACTTGATGCTCTTGGATTGCCGGAGTACCGAGCAGGACAACTGTAGCCCGGGTGCAAGTCATCCTCCGAGTTCGATGGTTTCGGTCTTAGACTCGCTAAGAACTGAAAGCCGAGAACCAAAGACTCCAAACTCGCGGTCGATGATGCGTCAAAATCGCGTGCTAATTTATGGACTTCAATGGCTACCTTTCGGTTTACCGGGTTATGACTATTTCGTAAACGGTGCCTACGTAACAATCGTTTCCATATAAACACACAACATTTTATCTTTAAAACGAACCCTCGTTGAACTCGATCCATTGATAATTACGTTCGAAACCGTTGTCTTCGCGAGGCCCTGCAAAATCGGTGGAGGGTGAGCACCCTTAAGTGCATAGCTTCTGTCTAAATCTACTTTTCTCAATCTTTATAGGAAAAAGTCACTTTCCAACGAACTGTACGATAGTAACTTTGATCGATGTCTCGGGCTTGTTACGGGTTTTTTTTTTTTTTCGAAAAATGATAAAGAGATCAAAATAGTTTGTGTTG